ACCCTTCTCTTCTATAGTTATGGTGATACATGTTCCCTCATGCCCTCATGTTTCTTCTCCTTCTGCCATTTCGTTAAATGGGTTCAATTTCTTCATTTTTGGCCCAAATAACATGAAATTTGGCATGAAGGTACAGTGGCCAAATACCCCCAGTACTATTTTTTTTTCATTTTCTTGATACAGGCTTTTAGAATGGTTTTATTCAGACTTTTGGCTGTATTTTAAAACTTATAAGTAATGTACTTAGTCTATTATAATAGCAGTGTGTGTTACCATGATTGGAGTGTAACCATATTTGGACATAGGGTAAGGAGGTCAATGCCCAAATATGGGCAGCAGCTGCAGCCCTGTTTGCAGATGTGGTCGCTGATTGGCTGTTCCCTTAATTACTTTACTGCTAAATGAACACCTGTGTATGGTTCCACATACTTATAATAGGAACAACTACTTTGTTTTTTTTACAAGTATTGGCCAGGAAAAGGAGTCTCTTGGGTTGTAAATCAGTGGAAACATGCCATATAACCTACACATTTTTATATACCTTGCTATTTTCTAAACCAAATTTTAAAATCTTTAATCCAAATTAGCAGCAGGTATATGTAGTGGTGTGGTTGGATAAGGTCATTGACTTCTTGTTTAAAAGTTTAAAAAGTTTAAAAGATTAAAAGTTTGAAATTCATTGTTTGAATTACAGTCCAGTCTGTATGTTGACTTAATGGCTCCCTTCATAGCATTTGGAGCTATCATAGTAATTGCCTTGGTCTGTTTTTTTTTTAAATCCAAGAATCAACAAATCATATTGGTGTGGCTTTACTATTTGCTGACTTTATTTTTTGCTGTACCTGTCTCCACCACAAATGTATACATAGAGTTCTGCAAACATGTCCATTTTTCTCAGACCATGACATTTTGCTATCACAAACATAAAGTGATTTACAGTATTTACATGGCATTAAGTGCCCTGACAACTACAATGTAAAAAGAATTAAAACATTATAAAGGAATAAAGGGTAGGTATGTACCAATCTCATCTGTAGTGCTGTGCAGAGTTACCCTTGGAACATCTGGACCTGCATGAAGAAAAGTGTTCTTTCTTTTTAATGCAGAATAAGATGGATCATTATTTAACCTGTGCATGTACAGAATGATGCATTGTGGGTAATTAGTCTGTGAAAAGTCCATGAGATGTAAACCAGACATGTCTGGACATGGTATCAAGCCTGGTCTAGACACAAGAGCTATACAAGTGCAGTTCAAATTATTGACAAATCAAGACCCACAAAAGCTGCTTTAGTGACAGGGTGGATATGCATAATGTACAAATGTAACGTTATATGTACTTATGTTTGTACATTATACAGCATGTCATGTATATCATGCTCCAACATATTCAATTATTGATGGAAATGCCCCTTTCCTCTCAAAGATGTAAAAATTTTTGTGGGCCTGAATTCATGTATTGTTGAAACGTGGCAATGTAGGCTATAAAGGCTTGACTTGACCTCCAAAAAATTGATACAGTTAAATAGCACATTGGATCCACATACGGTATTAATAAAAGGCTGCTGCAGAATTTCAAACCACACATAACACAGAAGAAATAAGTACAATGGCATTAATTTTTTACAATGACATTGACAATCAGTTGCTTTGGCTTTTTAGAACAATGTAAAATGTCTTAGGAAACAAATGTGAAGTTGTCTCACCCAAGCAGTGCAAGGTGTACCACTTCTGATTCTTGCTGAAAGTGGCATCGTAGAAGGTGCAGTTTGGAAACAGGCCACAGCTCAGACACTTCCTGTCCTGGGCGCTGCCCATGCTCACACTGTACAGGTGCCTGCTGCGTGCCGTCTCCTCCGTACTCAGGAAGTAACTTCAGCACATATAAACAAGGAATCAAAGATCTTGTATCTCTATAGTTGTTCTAAATTTGTTTTACTCATTACTGTGATTTCTTGCTGATTCTGTCTAATTTTCCTTTTTTCCACCGGCTCCCATAAGGTAGCAGACGAGCACAGCAGGAAATTAAAGACAGGTAATGAGAGTTTTTCATGCCCTACATGCGGTTTCTCTTTTTAGCGAATGCCCCGGAATTGTCGCACGAATCTTAAACTTTTTAATGTGGTCATGTCCAGAGGGTGCTCCGGCGTGTTCATACCAAGTTTGAAGCGAATCCATCGAGCCGAACTTAAATAAATTGAAATTTACTGTTTTTTTACTCTTCTTAGTGTCACTGAATAGCCACTTAACTTCCGGGTTTTAAAGTAAATGCCCACTACTCCTTGCTAAATATCGGTCCTCACGCAACGCTGGCAAAATACACCACCACAAACATGTTCATACAGGATTCCCTGAATTTCTGAAGTTTCCGTGCCCTACAAGCTTTTAAAGTACCCATTTTTCGGCAAAATATGTGCTGAGACAACTTCGCCGCCTCGGCGTATACAATTCAAAATAGCTGACGGCTGCGGGTTTGCAAAAAAACACAGTCCAGTCCAATCAGCGGAAAAAGCAACCCAGTCTGATTTTGGGGTGGTGAAAGCAGTTTGCATTTTAGCACCCTTTGTCCAGCGCTTTTGGTGGACTGCAAGGAAAATGAAAGTCAGGGGAGTCCTATATGAACATGTTTGTGGTGGTGGATTTGGCCGCCATTGTGCGAGGGCCGATATTTGCAAGGAGTAGTGGGCATTCGCTTCAAACCCAGAAGTAAAGTGGGTATTCGCCGAGAAAAAAAACAACAAAATTTCGATTTACTTACAAAAATGTAAGAGTCGTGCAACAATTCCCGGGCATGCGCTAAAAAGAGAAACCACCTACATGTAGGGCCACACTGGATTAATTTTACAGATGACATCCCTGTGCGCATTGATTTTTGCCTGTTATGACCTCCTCCACGGCTCTGGCCTGGATGCCATCTTCCGTATGCATATACATTCATGGTAGTGACAATAGGGAGTCGGTGGTATCTACAGAGAATGGCACCTAGGCTGCCGAGGCTCCATGAAACTCAAGCACTACTTAGGTGGTCCCAGACGTACCTGTCATGTGGCAATAACTATGGAAACACAACCAAGCACACGACGAAAACAAAACTGCCTTACACAGAGGGAGATTAATTTTTCTAACTAAAATTATATACTGATTATTGTAAGAGAGGCTGCAATATGTCTATATGTATATAACCTTATCCTGTAAGTCATTACATTGCCAACATAGTACTAGTACCTCTTTGTGGGCTTGGGACAAGTCTGGTTATGGGCCACCTAGCAAATTGTATATCATTTTCTTAAACAATGGAAATGGGTATATGAATATGTGAGTAGCAAGTAAATGATGAGAATTTCATAAATATTCAGCAATGGTGTAAGGTCATGGAACTACATGTATCATAGTCAACTTCTAGACCAACATTTTAATTGGTCTTCAGATCAACAAAGCCCTTCTCTGGCTTTATTTTTGGTTCAACGTTTAACGTAACCCACTCTGGAGAAAATCAATATATGTTTTGTAAATTTCTGCATAAGATATAATCATTTAATTGTAAGAAGGTTCTAAGATTCTAAGATAATGATCTGTTCTATGCAAGCTTACACTGTGTTCGTCATTTGATCATAGGCCAGGATTTTGGTGACTTCCCATGGGCCACTAGTCAGGAACTCTTGAACCTTGTTGACACCTCCTGCAGTCTGTACAAAAGGGTATCCATTCCACTTTTTAAAGAAAGAAAAACAACCATTGGCAAGTGAGTTTCCATTAGAATAAAGACAGCACATACAGTCACAGTTTCAGCACCAAGGAGAGGAATGACATTGTTTTAGATCTGTTTCCCTGGTCTGCAGCGAGTAAATTCTACGATTCTGTGCACATTGGTTTTTGCCAGATTTTGAGGGAAACAATTAAAATACTTTGCATCACCCAAAAACCTCATCATTTTTATTAACTAATGTAGAAAATACAATAACAAGATGACAAAGCCATCAGACTGACATGTTTTCAATGATTGAAAAAAAATATATACCTATTACAGATGCTTTAAGAACAGGCACATGAAGGCAAAATCTTGAAGCACAATATGATTAAAAATATGAAAGAAGTTTTAGAATATTGGACTTCTCAAAATTTTTCGACTGTGCAACTCCTGTCCTTGTCAAGGAAAGAGCACTTCACTGTTATATAGATAACTCCAAGACTGGAATTGTACAGCTGAAAATTTAGGAAGTTGAATTTCTTCGGTTGAAAATTACAAATTTGTTTCAAAATGACTTCTACTAACACAAATGAACTTTCAAAAACTATAAATACTAGAAAGATTGTTCTTACATCAGCCCTGATGACAGCAATGTGTGGAAACTTCCCCCTGTTCCCCTGACTGTAGGGCAGCTGGATGAAGTACTTACTCCCGTCAGCAGCAAACATGGGCTTGATGTGCTGGGGAGGGGGTAGACACAATACAACTGTTCAGGACAAACACTTAATTTACATGTAATACAAACACATAAGGTTACATGCATATATACTCAAGACATTGCATCACCATTTATTAAGATGCTCTATACCCTTGCAACAACTTTCCATTCACTACAGGCTCCATATCTGGGTCTTCAAATAGTCAACCATAGAAACCAAACAGTGGATACAAATTTGGCAGAATATCAGCTGCAATAAGTACATGTATGTAAGTCTTTCTTTCAAACAGTTGACATTGCAAGAAACTAAGATGATACTCTAAACTGTTCAATAAATGAAACATTGCATGAAAATATTCCTATTAGGCCTCACCGATTTAATTTTATGGATGACATCCACGCGCGCATTGATTTTCACCTGTGAGCAAAAAAGATCACGTCCATCGAGGCTCTGGCCTGGCTCTAGGCCTGGGTAGTCCATGGTAGTTAGCGACAATACGGAGCCGGGGACCCAGGCTACCGAAGCTCCACAACTCAAGTACATACAGTACTAATTAATAAATTCTGCAAAAAGCCAGCATGTGCCGGCTTGTCGTATACGTCGCTAAGTACTGCCACAAATTCACAATGCCAGCTTTGTATTCCTGTGGTTTAGTAGCATTTTATTTTTGGCCGGAATTTTTTTTATTCGCCTGAGCGCAGTAGTTTGGGGTCTTCAGAGGATGTCATCCATAAAATTAAGTTGGTGTGGCCTTATTCAGAAACAGGGATGACACTTTCAAAAATGAAGAGATTATCTAGCTCCCTTTCTTTCTTTCTCTCTCTATATATATTATATTATATATACACTGTCAGTGGTCGAAATACTTTTTTTCAGTGCTCTGCAATATTGTAGAAGAGTCAAAATTTTGTTCTGCAATTTGAAAATACTTTCTGCAAATACACAAGCCTCCATACTACAACCTTCTCAAACCATTAATGTCTTTTTTACATCATATATAGCTTTGTAAATCTTTAGCATTACTGGAATTCTTTTAAGTTAAATCTATCACTCTTTTTTAATTTCAGACGTTATAGATCCTTTATAGTAAATTTATTATGTACTGGTATCTTCACGGGTCTTTCACCGCTGTCTCCCACTACAAGCTGCTACAACTAAAACCATACCTTACCTGTAAATGTACTGAGTAATCACACCCACATATCATCCTTCCACACAACATACTAATAAAAGACACACCAAAAAAACAGTACTTAACCCTTAAGCAACTCGATATGATTTGGTGCTACCTGAAACGGTCAGACTACTACCTTTTGTCAGTGACACTAAGAAAATTGCAGGTTTATAAGCACGAACTATTGATTCATATGCAAATTAGTGAAGACAAATTTTTGGAAGTCCAAAGGGAAACAAAAGATAGACAAGTCAAGACAAGGATGATGCAAATTAGTGAAGAAGCTCCTGTTGCTTCAAAACAGGAGCTTAAGTGTTGTCTGTCCTTGGGGCCAGAGAGTTCTAGTTTGCTAAATTGAAAACTATTGAATCTGGAGCCTATTTTTCCTTCTGCAAAATTGCAGATTGTATAGATTTTTCTTCTGCAATCTTGAAAATCTATCTGCAGATTGCAGACTGCAGACAGGTATTTCGAACACTGACTGTATATATCTTATATATAGAATGGTTTAGCATGTAATAGCAAACCCCGACTTGATGATGATGATAGAATAGAGGGGAAACTAGCCAGACACTAAGAGAATGAAAAAAACAACAACCTGTGAAAAAAAACAGCAACCTAACATCCAAATAATGTTGGAACTTTCATTCTTTAGCAAATTTTAATATGAAGTTAAAAACATTTTCATGTTTCACTTACATGTGTAATGTATATCAAAACACAATACAGTGTAGTACTTACCGGTCTTAGCCAGGCAGTGCTGGTTTGTCTGTAGTTCTATAGGGAAATGTAAGACGGAGAAAAAAGGGATAAATTTTCCTACTATTTCTCTTAAAGAGACAGGCAACAACTACCAGGTAAATAAAATTAGCATAAATACAGTGTAGCATGTACTACATTGCACAATACTGCTAATATCACAAGTACTTAGTATGTTACATATCAACAGTAGCATGCACAGTCCAGTGTTTAGTGACCCAAAAGGTCAAATCTTGAATGTTGTTGCTCACCTAACATGCACATAATGTTTTTATTCTCGTCCAAAAACCAAGGAAATAAATTTATGTGGCCTTATAAAAGTTTGTTTAAGTACCTTGAAAGTACCTTGAAAGTACCTTGAAAGGTAAAGGTCCATGTCAGGGGGACCTATATATAGCCTTTTTCAGGCTATAAGGGCAGTGGGTTGTTAGTTCATAATGGTAATAGTTAATGGAAGGAAGAGCCCATCAGTCTCCTTCCATTGCATTTTACCCCCCAACCAAAGCCAGGTACCCATTTTACAACCCTGTGTGGAGTGAGGACAGTCATGGAAAGTGCCTTTCCAAAGGACACAACATCCTGCCAGGAATTAAACCAATGGCCTCTTGTCATGTCCAGTGGCAGCCTTACCGCTCAACCATTTCATGTCTCAAAGGTTAAATCACATTTTCTAAAATCACATACTTTTCTCTAGGTGGTTATCAACATGATTGTGCTCAACCTCACCTCAGAACAGCTCCCAGTCACCGCATTACATATACAGATGATTGAGAGGTTTTGCCTGCGGTTTAGCCAGGTTACAGCCACCTTGTTGTCTGTAGCCCACACTACTGAGGAAAAGTAGTAGTCTCTCCTATAAAAGGGAACAGTAAAATATACACTAACATGATTAAATACTTTATATATACAAATCATCATGCCATGCTCATATATCTATCATATAGTAATTATGTGGGTTATACAATTAAGGGTTAATGTCCCGTCCCGAGGTGAATATGGTGTGATAAAGCCTTGTCAGTTGCTATAACCACCGAATAAAGCCACCAAGTGAGCGCAGCGAACGAGGTGGCTTTATGAGGTGGTTATAGCAACTGACAAGGCTTTATCACACCATATTCACCGAGAAAGGGCGGGCCATTAACGCTATTATCATATAGCTTACGCGATAGCCTATCCAAACTGATGCAGGGAAGAGTGACACAATGTACAATTTACCCCTTGCACATGCTGAATAGAACATAGAATATTTGTTCCATCTGGAGTCACCTGAGGTCACTGGCGGGTTCACGTTCTATCGCCTTCTATCTGGGTCACAGGCAGGGAACAGGTGTTCTTATGGGAGTCACCCGAGGTCATCGGAACACAACTCAAGTTATTTTTGGATTTTTTAGAAGTAGAGCCGTGTTCTATTGGGTCACCTGAGGTCATATGCGGGTGATTATCCATTTTGTTTAATGTATGGATTGGGATGAATAAATACCCGATTTTGACTCTATTTGTGACATTACGGCGACATAAAGAATGTGGAATGGAGCCTTCTGATTGGTCAACGTCACCCGGCTATATGATAATTATCATTAATAAGTATTTTGCAGCGTATGAAAGCTAATGGAGCAATAAGTATCCAACACTGCAAAAGTGAGACAATGCATTCTTGATGCACTATACAGTTTTAAACATGTTGTTTTCGAGTTATTAAAAATATTAGTATACTTTCAGTCTTCACTGTAATTAATACAAGTAGATTAGTCTGTCAGAATTAGTATTTTGTTTGTTTGTTTGTTTATTTCGATCCCCATTAGTGCTTAAAAGCACTATTCTTCCTGGGGTGTGGGGTCAATAAAATGAAACATTAATAACAAAACTTGTACATAATGATGATTACAAAATAATAAAGTAAGTTCAAAATCAATAGGAGAGGTGAGAGGTCGACCTAAAAAAAGCACAAAATAATCTGAACATAATCCAGCGTTGTACGTAACCAACAAAGGTGCCCCCAAAATTAACAAAGGTATAAAATTGATAAATAACTTAAATAACTGAATAGAACATAATGTCCAACTGATCATAATTCCAAAGATAATTATATTGAAATATAACAAATTGATCAGCCATTTAAATAACTAAAAGGTAGCAGCAGAGACAAAATAACTTATACAAAATCAAATAAAAAATTCTATACAAAAAGAGATCAGGTGTAGCTTATGCTACATGTAGTAATAGTTCAACTTCCTTTTATGTTCAAATTATGCATACAATGGGTTCTTCTTTCCTACCTGAAGGACTAGGATGTCATCTTTCAAGCATGTAACGTTACATGTATAGTATAAATGAAACTAAAAAATGGAATTCTTTTCCCAGAGTTTTGAGTTCATCAGTCCAGGTTTCATGGTACTAGACTGCAGTCCTTAGCATGGGACTTGTTTACCAATGATCCACTGTTTACTACAATGATGTTTTCAGAATCAGACACAGGATTACAATGTGCACTTAAGACAAGCTTTCATGCAAGGTGGAATACAAGAATATGTAAACCTCAAGAAAACCATGATAGTGGTGATTTTCAACAACACAGAAAGAACATTACATTTTGTAGTTGTATGTTCTCTTGATTTACTTTTTGGACATGCAGTTAGACTTCGGGCAGGATTTTACAAAATTTAATAAAGACTCGTATTATCAACTAACCAGAAACAACTGACCAATTGGTAGCCTGCATTTCATATTGATTGTATGAGGCCATTATACTGCCAAAAGCCTTTTTTTTTTAAAGGATTCTAAATTCCGAGGCATTTTGCAATATATTTTGTCTCTGTTATGAAAAGTTTGAGAAAAGATTATCACAATGCTTGGTTCACTTGCAATAGCTCCTGCATTTGCTATGTTGTTGTTTTGTTGTTGCTGGTGTGTAACTTACTGAGCCTTGATATCAGCTGGAGGTTCCAGGTTCAGAACCCTGCTTGGGTTTCCCGTATTGATGACAGAAATCTTCACTGTTGGATTAGTAGAACCAGGCTGAAGAGAAACAAAATGGAACCCATGATGAGGACAACATTCATCCAGGAACACATACATGTATCTGGAAATCTTATCATGCATAACTTTTCAAATTCTTCAATAAAGATAACAGACTGTATCATCAATCATTATTTGTAGCCAGTATAACCATCATTCAGCAGAGCATACCAGCCTTGCAGGCATGCGGCGTGGTGGCTGCAGCTGGCTACACTGTGCCGTTGCACATAACTGTAGGCTTTGTTAAAAGCTAGTGATGATGCCCCTACAGTATATAATGTTGGCCGTGAGTTCCACCATACAATAGTTCTAGGAAGGTATGAGTGCAACCTCAATCCTTGGTTGATAACTTAAAGGCATGATTTTGTACAATGTATTTCTTGTTCTTTTTTGAGATGGTGACAGATACAGTTAAGAAAGTCTAAGCAGTGCAAGAAAGTCTAACCCTCAGAAGTCGGGGAACAATAGATGATAAACTGGACAGTGAGTGAGAGTGGGTTTGTATGGCCACCAGCTTACCCTATACTATTTATTAGCCATTTTGTACATCATGCATAGTCTGGACATTTTCACCTGTCTTCCAACCCCCCAACTGTGTTTTTTTTTCATTCCTGTGACACTAGCACCACTTTTATAGTGGTTTGTACCTTAGGATACTTGATCTTGCGGATGGCATAGTAGCTGCCCTCTACGCTGTAGTCTGGAATAGCCACATCTTGTACAGCTGAGTCGTTAAACGTTGCAAAACAGATGTGAGTTCCATTTGGTGAAAACCACATGGCTTCATGGGACTGGAGAATCTCCTCTGTAAAGACAACACAACATAACTTATTCAAATCAGGATCTCACTTGTGTTAAGATGATGTTAATATTAATTTAATTTAACATTTACCTGACCTTCTGTGATTTTCAAAACACTGTTTTTTTCTATTTCATTTGTGGTAAAGCTAAATGTTGTTCTTTGTAAATTTTGTGCATTTGAATAATTTGCCTCAGATGTTTGTCTCTTTGAGACTGTTCTGATGTTAGTTTCTTATTTATGACTGATGTGTAGTTCCTGTAGACTTAATGTTGGATGTGTAAGACTATTCATGCTTGTGTAAATAAGGTATGATGATCATGTCTGTCAGAGTGTCCTGTAGTTGTTGTTGTGTTAGGATAGCTTTGTACTCCTGTTTATACATTGTATATATAGAATGATTGTGTAAAATGTTAGCTGTCACTGTTCTAAACATTTTTCCTATATGAATATTTATGACAATAATACATCAGACATTAACATTCATATAGAATTTTTTTTAAACAGTGACAGCCAACGCTTTACACAATTTACCCTAGTACAAAAATTGGGATCCTGAATACATGAATACATGTATGTCTCATGGCAATATTCAGTATTTGTAATTCACAGAAAAGGAAAACCCTGCACAGAAACCCAGGGAAGACACCCCTGTACAGATTAGTCCTACGGTACAAACCCTAGCACAGAAAAGCCAGGGGGATTAAACACCCCCATAAAAAAGTCCTAGGGAGCACACCCTAGCCAAAAAAGCAAGTGGGAATGGCCCCTGTTACATTGTGTAAATGTGTTTATTTACTTGTATCATTGTTAAATAATAATGAATAAAATCAGGACCTCATTGCTAGAAAAGCCTTCCTTGTTAAGATAAGATAATCATTGGATCAACTGATATAAAATATGTCAGTGATAAAGGTGAACACCATTTGGTGAAGATATAAGGTTGTGAAACTTTAGTTGTGTTTGTTAATAATTGTTGTTGGGGTAGTACTTTATCCCTAACCTTCATACACCCAATCAGGAATTCCATTGAATACAACTCCTTCTTGTCCCTCAAATGTCAGCTGCACAGGTTCTGTAGCATAGCTGTTCTTGTAATAGATGTTGTTTTTGTAAACAAATGCCTGCAAAACAATACAGTACAGTTCAATGGCAAAATTGCAAAGTGACTTGTTGAGACTAGTGTGCAAGACTTTATCTGATAAATGATCAGAATCTTCTTAGTTGTCATTTTATTGCAACAGTCTCACTATTGAATATCTAATTGTATTAAGGTTACCATCTGATGTTTCTGACTATCCGTATTCTGAGTACTATGTAGTATCTATGAATTAGGCGAAATTGACTTGACATGACAAGGGTCACTGTTATGTAAATAAGGTAAAGGTAGAGTTTGAAGTGTCTTTAGATATAGTTTACCTAGTAGACGTCTCACCTTCATCAACAAACTAACAATAATATGTCTACTAGGTGATGCACTACGTCTACACACATTTGAGGATATTCCTGAAACCCACAGGGCATACATTTGTAGATAACAAGAAGAAACATTATAATTACAATCTGATGATCTCTGGGTCCAAATATGGCCAGCTGAAGTGTGGCTTCCCTCATGGAAGAGTCAGGCTTGAGTTCCACTGAGGCTCTCCTGGATAGGAGACATACATGTAGGACATTCATGTCATGTTGGTTTCAGTCTATGAAAATATTAGGGAATCAATCAAGACCCTCACCAACACAATACTGGGATCAGAAGCTCATATCCTGAGACTTACAGTAGAGCTTCTCATCATGTTGGGAAGAAATCTGACCCTTCCTCACCTTTCCTCTCCTTGTCCAATTGAAGTAGAGCTGATTTCATCAACAATCAAATATTCTAAAATACCAGTACATAACAATTGAGCAACTAGTTAATATCCTAAAAAATTTCCTATTTAGAGTTACTAGAAATCATCACTCATATCTGAGGTCAGCTAGTATCCAAAAGTTTGTTAACTCTTCAGTCAGTGGTGAACTACATGTAGGAGTTTTCTTTACATTGATACACCAAAGATGATAAAATCCTGGGACTAGAATACATAGTTGATTCAAATAAAGACAGACCTTTAAAGAAACAATATGATGAATAATGAAAATTAAACTGTTTTCCAACTCAAAGAATTTGACTCACAGGAATTTTTGACGTCAGTGTAACGTCAGCACTGGGTCAAAGTTCATCAGACGTGAGTTCTACAGCCCAGTCAGTTAGCTTTTGAGAAATTTTGGTTGAAATTCTGAGGAGTCAAATTCAATCAATAGGAGAAGAGCTTAATATTCATGATGTAATTCATCAAACCAGATGGTATTTCATGCTACAAGATTGTTTGACTGCTACAACTGTCATTCAATGAAATTCTTCTACCTAACAGTTACATGTACACGGTTGCATATGTTCTGACACCCAATTCTAAGCCTGGTACCCAAACTACTGCTGCCAAAAGTCTCTTTTGTCCTCCAATTTCTAACTATAGGTTTGGACACCTACATAATGTAACTACTGTGTTCAAACAACTCAACGAATGTCCTGACAACCATAACCCACATAGGTCTCTTAGTCTTCAACTCTTCAACATTGCATCTCATTGCATACATTTTGTATATAAACATTATTATTAAATTGATTAGTGACTTCTTCATATCAATATCAATTAAATATCAACTCTTAACTACTCACCTGAGAAGAGACTTCTTGTAAATAACTCATTTTCAAGATCACTTTCTTTTTTTTCTGACACATTATAGTATTAGGCCACACCAATTTAATTTGTTGGTTCTCGGATTCGCCTCTTCATTTTTTTCTGATTTGCAAAAAAAAAAAAAGATTCTGGTTCTGAATCAACTCAAAAATGCTCATATTTTGCCCCCAACAGTTGTGGAAAGTCCTTTTCTCCCTAGCTGTTGCAGTGTTTCCATCTATCAATGCAGTGGTTTGATTAAAAGTTCAAAATTCATTGTTTAAATATTAACACAACCTTTTGTGTTGACTTCATGGCTCCTATCATAGCATTTGGGGCTATAATAGGATGCCTAAACCTGTTTTTATTTTTATTTTTTTTCGCCCTGTCGTTTCATGTTTTTTCTGACAAAATCCGAGAACCAACAAATTAAATTGGTGTGGCCTTACTATAAAAATTAAGTCACTTTTATTTAATAAAAGTGACTTTAACTTAGCATGAAAGTTCATCTGTGTTGGTACAAGTCATTATGAAATAAAGACTAAAATAAAAGTGACTTTAATTTTTAAATTAACAGTTTTGTAAGCCCTGTAATTGCATTGAATACTTTTAAGGTCTTATCTTCGAAGATATCACACAATTTTTCCAGATCTTACAAATTCTCAACTGATTCAACTTTTCCAAATCATCATATTTATGTAGATGGGAAAGGAAATTACAACATTATAATGCATGCAATCACCATAAGTAGATTGAAGACTTACTTTGTGTTGACATTGAAAATTGAATACTTTGCTTCAAAAGAGTGTCTGTATCGCTGTGAGAGATGAGAGAAAAAAACAGATGACATAAAGAAATTTGCATCCTGTATACATGCCTGCCTGCCATCATCTCTACTAAACATTGAAATGTGCAGTACTGAAGTGGATAGACAGGTGGCATGGCTAAACACATGTTACCGGGTATATTAGTTTGCACACACAAACATTGCGAGAGGAGTAATGGCACCTTCATGTCTCAATCACAAAAAACTTGAAAGCTGTCTCTTAACTACAAAATATTCAACCATTCCTCACTTAACACATCATCAAAAATCCATCATACATGATACCTCTTCTCTATCACGTTACAAGAGAAACACTAGTTCCATATCTGCTTGGAGACTAGAAAATTGATCTTCAACCAGGGTAGTTGAAAAAGTGGCGGAACAAATCAGTTATATTCCTGATAGAACATTGGGTAACCAAGCACGCTGTTGCCTGCCTTCCAGTCGCTTCTGTAGTGCTGTCCACATACATGACTATATCTCCACATAATCATAGCTGTCCCTAAATATTCAAGTAAGTTGAAGTAACCGATTCAGATGACTGAAGTGGCTTAACAGGCTTGAAAACTACCTTGATTTTCTATCAATCTTACAAATGAGGGAAGAGGGCCATGTCACTACATTTTATGGGGCAAGAAACCCATGTACATTTAAAGAAAATCTTGGTTCCGATGATGCTTCATATGAAGAGGTTTTCTCTCACATTCAAAGGTTTATTTTAACGTTAACGTTTAACGTTAATTTTATTCCTCATATGGCAATCCCTATATAGAGCCCCCGTCACATGTTGCTTATGTTTGGCAACTTTAAAGTTGAAGATAAAGGCTGGCTGTTTGTTGGATCTCAATAGCGGGCTTTTGGTGGCTGAAATTGCACAAAATTGTCTCTCTAGAAAATCATCCACCTCATGTACTTTGTGTGTATAATCTAAAATTGACAGCGTCAAACTCTAAAATGATTTACACTGTTACACTCACACTCACTCACTCACTGTCCGGTTTATCGTCTGTTGTTCCCCGTCTTCCGAGGGTTAGACGTGTTTGCATAATACATCTGGGGCTTGATTTGTTTATATATTCTTACGGAAGTTCCGAGCTCCCCCGCCTATATATATATATATATATATATATATATATATATATAGTTAAAATCAAAGGCAAACTAACCTTGTTGACATTGTAGATCAGCAGAGCGTACTGCAGGTCAGCGGAGATTCTGTATCGGGAGGCATCAATGTCGCTCTGGGGACAGAACAAAGAAAATGAAAAAGGTAGAACTTCACAGCAAATACATTCAATAACAAGAGTTCCACGATCTCATACCTTCACCAAATGATGTTAACCCTTCCGGTTGACGAATTATACAATTTTAATCATTGATTTCACAAATAAGGACCTCATTTGCATCAATTATATCAGTTGATCATATTCTCCACCCAGTGACAGTCTTATATCTTAACAAAAAAGGCTATTCTAGCACTTCCTCATAAATTATGCAAATGAGGTCATGTTTTGAATAAAATATGTTTATTGATGTTCACCTTCAAAATGCGGCAAGTTTGAAATTCCCAGCAGTTACAACTACGAAATTATAACAATTTCCCATTAATTATGCAGATTTGGTCTTCATTTACATAATCTATATCCTCAGATGTTTTTCTCGCTCTCAGTTACATGTCACAAGTGTTTCATAGTTGTATTATCGAACATAGCAGATCTATAGAATTTCCTCATTAATTATGCAAATTAGCTCCTGATTTGCCACTAATTAGGTCAAGCATCACTTCAGCTACCTACAAACCAAAAATGAAGACAATCGGTCAACCGGTTCTTGAGTTATCCTCCTTCGAAGATTTTTCAACAAACGCTCCTGCAGTTCCAGAACATGTCATGTCACCGCTACTGAAAACATAACCTTCTTGGCGAAGGTAATAATGTTAAACTCAGCATGCTTATTTACCAATTTATCTATATGCAATGTATGTTTACGTTCATTTGTATCTACATGTTGCTCAGCGGGCAACCTAAAACTAGGTCACCCATCAATATTTTGGGTTGCCCCAATTACAATGCTCTAATAAAAATCAAGCTGTTCTATAATTAGAAACTTGATAACAAAGAATTCAAACTAAGTCTGAAATAAAACATGATTTAATTATTCAAAAAATGTCTTGTAAGTACTCAAGTATGCAGGTGTATATTGAAGTAAATCAAATTATGCAAAGAACATTGGAACATACGAGAGGTACTAAAAGTTTCGTCTTTGTAACATGATAGCTTGTTTATTTCAGATGGCAGGCCACATGTAAAGAGGTCGCTCTTATGCTGGCTGAGGCTAGCCTGGGTGACATCTGATCCTTGCATTCCCTGGCCAGAAAAAAATGACCGCTGTACTAAAACTTTAAAAAAAAGATAACTTGCATGCTGGGCAACTTAAGCATCTCCCACAAGTCTTGCACAGAAAACATGACTTGTGCGGCAAGAGTACGAGAGTGGGTATGTCAAACCCTGTAGTTGAATAACACCTTACTTACAATGTATGAGACTCACTCACTCACGTCCAAGCTTATCCAAGAACACCTTTAAAGAAGTCACTGATATGGTCTAATTTGTTGATTCAATGAAAAATTTGTCAAAAAAGGCATTTTAGGAAAAATGCAAAGTTTACATAACTAGCCATGTCTATATTCAAATATGCCCTAAACATTGTAGAGCACCTATGATAAAAAATATTTAAGTTATCAGGGCTTGAAATTCAGTTTTGGGAATACATGTAGATGCTCTAGTACTAGTGCAACCTAAAATAATGGGTGCACAAAAGAATTTTTGGGTGTACCAAATATGATAAATCTTAAACTTACAACAGATAAAGATTTTATCATTTTTCTGACACTCAGATGTCAATATGCTGTATACTAGTATACATTTAATATCTTTACATATTACATAAACCTACAAAAATATCTGGATGCACCTGTCCATGCACCAAGAATTGGGTTCACAGCTCCAATTTTTGGTGCACTAAGGTGCACATAGTATATGTGTATGCACATAGTATATCGAGCTATACTTACAAAGGTGTCATTTTTAATAATGACAGTAGATGAGTTGTCTGTAGCCTTAAACTTGACAACAGCATCACTTCCATTCCTATAGACGAACTCATCTTCTGCAAGGAAACAGCAGGGGCTCAAGTTTAGAGGTCAGGTCAAGTAGGAAAGATATACATGTGCAATTATATTAGAATAAGATTTATTAAGCCTAAGACTTGTCTAAGATGACTACCCAGTATCCCAGGGACTGAGTAAAATTGGTCTTCTTAGTTTGTTAAACCATAGACAATACAAGACTGAGAACAAAAAACTCACAGCAATAGATTTTAGAGTGCCCCATAAGGCCACACCAATTTAATTTCTTGGTTAACAGATTCGCCCGCTTCATTTTTTTCTGATTTGGAAATTCATTGTTCAAAATTCATTGTTTAAATTTTGAACCAGCCTGGTGTGTTGACTTCATGGCTCCTATCGTACCATTTTGGGCCATAATAGGATGCCTAGGCCTGATTTTATTTTTTATTTTTTTCGCCCGCCCGCTCCATTATTTTTCTAGAAAAATCCGTTAAACAAGAAATTAAATTGGTGTGGCCTAATAACCCAGAGTGATCCATCCAGTGCAATTTAACATTACGCAAAGACCATCTATTGCTGAAATAAATGGCAAACTACATGTAGCCAATTTCATTAAGATTTCATCAAGTTATCATCAAAAAAGTTTTCTGCCACCTACTTTGATTTGGTCATTTGCAGAGAAAAAAATACATATATTTTGTATCTTTGTTGCATTGCAAGTGCACGTGGTTGGCTCACATGTACATGTAGGTATGGGGGAAAAATTGGCACCAAGAAAATAAGTTGTTATGGCCAGATTGCTGGCTTATGTGAGGTGGTATCTTGGGCAATTTTGACTATATTATTTATATGTTGAAAACGAGATACACTTTCTACTTGACTGTACATTATATAAAGATGAACGCCAAGAGCTATTTGATACTTTACAATTAGACAAGATATACTGTATGTAAGAAAATGTCAAAGCAGGACATGTTTAAATACTTGATGTCATACAAGAACGAATGTACAGTAGACAAACTATGTAATTATGTTTCCAAATGTTTCCAAAAGAGAGAAGAAAGGGCAACTAACAGTAGATGATAGGTAGTTTATAGTATTATTGTAATGTATACTTTAGATTCCTAGCACTTTGCATTAGCGTACCAGTATGAAATACTCATGTTTTACATACTGGATATCCTCTTGTGCATTTAGCCCATCTGGTCAAGAACAAGCAATAAAGATTCATATCATATCATTAAAGGAGTACTATATAAGTCCAGAAGGGAGTGCTATTTTCCAGTAGATTATGCTGCAATGAATATATAACTAGGCGCCTTTTTGCATAATTTCGCTTGTATGACTTGCACGGCGCATGTTTGTAAAAAGATATCAATATTATTTTCCTCCACGCTGAACCAGAATTGATACATCCGAGAACTTTTGATTATGCAATTGCAATGCTCAAACACTTCAAGTCAACATATTTAACATTTTCTGTGAAAACAATAGGAGACAAGCACACTAATAAGCTGATTATTGAAAACTTGCTTTACTTTTCTTGACCTCTGGTTAGGATACTATTTAATAATATTAGGATGTCTAGCAGTGAGCTGCCAGTTTTATCCTTTGTGTTTTGATTTTCTCAGGTTATTTTTCATATAAATGTTAATTGAACAGATAACAAGAAGCCATAGGTGACAATCCTCCGTGAAGTTTTATATATTTCAACAAAATCCCAAGCGTCAAAGCCAGACCTACTGTGCAGACATTATAATTAGGCAACGGTTAATACAATGAGGGCGCGTCACAAGCATAAAACATACAAAGAGCTAAATCCATTACTGCTCGCAGGGCGTGTAAAAGATACTGTGCTTCAAGTTCGAAGTTCGTTTTTAATTACACACACACAATCATTGCATTCACATAAAGATCGGACTATCATGGTCGTGTCTAGTAACAAAGACAGACCCACCGTCTTACCGTGCCTGTACCTAATTAGGCGCGCCTGGAACAGGCCAAATTCCAGCAACAGTTGCGGTAAGCACCGCGAGTGTTACTACCGCCGGCCAGATAACAAGGATATCTGCTTAGAGTACCTCTGCTACCAGACAACTGCCTAAACCCACGGCCTATTCCACAGGATTGTAAAAGTAGGGATGTTTCTAAAATATGAATTTACTTCAATATCAAAACAGCTACGGTAAAAATAAAAAGACGTGCATCATCCCGAACATAATGCCACACCACATGCAAAATTACACAGAAATGCGACGTACGGAAGAATGCGTTTTGGCTGCGAACATCTTCCAAAAAACTTGGCATCTCTTAAGCATGGGAAAAAACATCTGGAACCACTTATCAAAACCACCCCGTATCTGCATGAAGTTCCACCCCCCCCGCTGCTATTCCAAACAACGCGTTTTTCTGGACCATTCCAATTCGCCTCGTAATTGTAGGGGTGCGTCTGCAATATTACATTGACCGCGAAAGCAGCAACGGCAAAAATACACATTCGTGCATCAACACGGGCATGCCCGCAGACGGCGTATAAAATTGCGTGCCGATTACACAAAGAGAACCCAGTGTTTTGACTGCGAACATGAAAAATCAGCCGATCACAACACTCCGTCCGGAGGTCCTGACCTCCTTCACGGAGTAATTAGATTATGCAGCTTATGGAAAAGATAATTAGATTACGCTGTTGTATTTAATCACCAATATTTTCTGGATAAATGAGGGGCAAAGGAAACCAAGAAGGCCAATAAGGACACCAAGAATGGTCAGTAAGATATCGAAGAACACAAAACAGTAATATGATTTTATCACCCCCGAAACATAACTTTCTTGGTCAAAACATAGACACCAATGGGGTAGCGTGGTGTATTCTGGGATAGTTTTGAGAGTATTTTGAGAGTTTGTCCTGGATTCGAAGCATTTTAAGACTTGCATGCATAATGAGCATTTTATTGTATATACTGTAAAGTAATATGCATTTTTCACTTCCTAAAATTAATGTCTGTCGGAATATAACACTCCCTTCTGGACTTTATACTGCTTTAAGGGAACAATTGTGAGTCTGCATTTAAGATGTTACTGTTCTGAAGCATATCTGAACATTGGCCTACCACTGATCCACTTCAATGAGACACCTTGGGCCTTCCAGGCGTCGTCAAACAGGTCCTCAAATGTAAACTTAGGATTCGTGTTGATGTGTGAATCTGAAACACACATGCAGTCACACATTTTAGAAAACATAAACACATTAAAAAACACATCAGTTCGAAAATGGAACTAGAATTATTATAGGTATTCTCAATTGCTAGTAACATGTGGCTTGATCCAACCGCATTTGTGGAAAAGAGTCCGCTACTGGTAGTGTATGAGTGGTTTAAACCTCACATTCTGGGCTTAAAAGTTAAATGCATCCAATGCAAGTTCAGGGTGGCAAAACTGGATGAAAAAATCTATCTGATATTGATATGTACTACCATTTCTTACATGTAGCACATTTTTGGTAACATTTCATACTGGAATCATTCGAAACACATTGTAGCCCCCAAACAAGCTAGATGGAGGGAAATCGTCATTGGCCTATGCTCCGAATGGGGCCCTGAAGGGCCCAGGTAGTAGTAGTAGTAGATATCAGTCTGCTATGGAATAGCACTGTGAGATATCACTATGCTATAGATTCAACTTACTAGTACTAGTACATTAAAAGATTGACCAGAAATGTGAACATCCAGTTTTGCTGCCCAGAAATTGTATTGGATGCATGTCTTTAAGCACCATGTACTTACTGTACAAAACTCCTTAGTGTTACAATTAATGGTGGTTTGCAGCCGGTCATGTGAAACAAGGAAACTAACCTGGCGTTAGCAGAATGACTGCAGTGACGATGAGTGAACACACGATGAGGATGACCAGCAGGGCGATGATGATGCCCTTCCAGTTCCGCTGGGATGGGTTGTTCCCAACCAGCTCCTGAAATGTGCAACACAATGTGAGGGAGGCAGTTCAGTCAAACTTCTCAATATATACTGAGATACTGACTGATGTGAGAGAGACTTAACGCTATGGAGAGAAAACAGACAGGAATGGAAGACGCTTCACCTGTCAGAAACGGGACAACAAAGAGGACATGTCTGTTCACTTTGACTTAGGCCCACTTTACACTCATTTTTGCAACAGCGGCGTCCGTCTTTAGACTGAGACCATCCAAAAGTCTGGCAGGACACCCGTGGTGCTCAATAAATAGATTGGCATTGTGACTGACACGACCCATTGTGACAACTAAAAACATACATGGAAGTTTGTAAAATTTTCATCCTTGTTGATTTTTAAAATGTCATTAACATTTTCTATATTCATTTAAAAAGGCTCTCAGACAATTTATTGCAAATAAAACCATTTAACTTTTATTACAGGAAATCATGTGTGACAAATGAGTCAAACTAGGTTCTCTGAGTGATGAATAACATTAAAAAATACATGGAATTAGTAGTCAGGGATGTATGATATATGCTAATCAGACGAACCCTGACCGCTGTTGTGAGTTTTAAAGGGTTTATAAATTTACTTAGAAATCAACGTTAACTACTGAATCAACTAAGTAACAGGGGATAAGTGAATAATGGTGTGAAATTAGTGAGGCCTTGTAGATAGGTAAGTGGTACAACCACAATGATAAGAACCATTATGTACAAGGTTGCTCTAGACTGCAGGTTAGGCAGAATCTAATTATCATTCAGCATGATTGAGTGGAGCTTCCTATTCAAGTTAAATATAGCAAGCACTCAATCTGTTCTAAGAGTAATCCAGTCTTAGTTTCAATGTATATATAGTACCTTATGTCACATATAACACTATGAACAAGTATGTTGCCATCATAGTCACAGTCAGACACTTCCTAAAGAGGGCCCCAGTAGTTTATAGTTTGGTGGGCTGTGGACTATTCATGCATGAACAATGTGTGGTGCATCAAGCCTGACTGTGTCATATTGTGTAAAATCAATAAAACCGATATAGCACAGGGCTGAAGATTCAGAGCACTTCTGTACACACAAAATTGGAGCCATGCACCTATTTTTTTGGACTGTGGTGCACCTTGACATTTGTGTAGCCCAAGGACATACTAATATAAAAATCGTTAACTTTAAATCATATTTTAATACCAAAACCTTACAGCTGGTTCTACCTCTTTTTGATAGATTTTAATTGCAACAAAAGTATTTCAAAAAGCTCGAGCAAATTCAGTTTTGTCTGCCATATGTTTTTATTGTTACTGTTGTTTGTATGTTTGCATGAATGATATACAAGTAAAAAGTAGATACATATATAGGTATAGGTATATACATATATAGGTATAGAAAACCTAATGGCATGCTCTTATATTTTATAAATACATGTCGTTGGAAAACAAGTTGAATTCATTGTACTGAACTACAGCACTAGGATGAAGTAGCTACGTATGTTAGCTGCCCTTGCCCTTGTGTATGTGGTGAACACATATTGTGTTCCCTCATGTTATTTCTTCTTCTTCTTCTCCTGCCATTTCATGAAAGGGATTCAACTCAGCCGTTTTTCAGTCAAATGACCTGAAACGTGACATGGAGGTAGAGTGGGCAAATACACCCAGGAGTTTTTAAAAATTTTTTTGAAAAATTGCCAAAAAACAGTTACTCAAGCAACTGGATATGATTTTGAAAACGTCAGACGTTTCAGCTAGTATCCACTAGCTTTCGTCAGTGACTGAGAGACCAGAGGGGAAAGCAGGTTTATATACACAACCTGTTGATTGATATGCAAATAAAGTGAAGACAAATATTTGGAAGTCGAAAAAGGAACAAAAGTCAGACAAGTCAAGACAAGATGATGCAAATTAGTCTGAAAGCTCCTGTTATACAGGACAGGAGCTTAAGTGTTGTCTGTCCTCGGGGCTGGGAGTGCCAAATCCCAAGTGCTGGAAAGATTGACCCGTAGCCCCCCTTCCCTGTTGAGGGTGGGGTTGTACATTCTTTCATATATTGCCTCTTTAACACCCCGTTCCCACCAGCGTGTTTCGCGGTCTAAGACATCCGTGGACTCGAGTTTGAAAGAGTGACCCTGGTTGTGTTGTAGGTGGTGGAAAATAGCTGAGGAGTAGCCGTTGGCACTAGGTCGGCAATGTTCTTTGTACCTTACTTTAAGCGGTTGACTTGTCTCTCCGATGTAGGTGTTGTTACAATTGGGCTCCTCACATTTGAGTCTGTAAATAACATTCGCCTTGGTACCCTTGTGAGGTCGGTCCTTAGGGTGTACCAGTCTTTGTCTGAGGGTTGAGTGAGGTTTGAAGTTAGTGGCTATGTTGAAGTTTTGGAAGATCCGTCGGAGTTTCTCAGATACTCCTTGGACATACGGAATAGTGATGTTGGCCTTGTTTTTGTTGGTCAATGGTTTGCACTTCTAGGTTTTCTTAGACTGATCTGAAGGTTTCAGCGCTTTGTTGAAAGTCCAGTTTTGGTAGCCACATTTAGCCAGGGCACCTCGGAGGTGTCTATGTTCGTCCGTTTTGGCTTGGTCTGAAGTGACAATGTTGTCTGCACGATGGAAGAGAGTTTTGATCACTGCTAGTTTGTGTTCCATTAAGGGTGGTGGGAATCAAAAGCCAGGTACTGATCAGTGTGGGTTGGTTTCCTGTACACTTCGAAACGAAGGTTACCATCTTCCTCTACGATAGTTTTGGTGTCTAGGAAAGGGAGCATGTTGTCATGGCTTGGCTCCTGTGTGAACTTGATGTTGTCATCTATCTGGTTGATGTGGTCAAAGAAGTCAGCAGCTACCCTCTTTTTCAATCTGCACCAAGTGTCATCTACATATCGAAACCAGTTGGCCGGGGGAGTGTCATTGAAAGTGCTGAGGGCTTTGTTTTCAAACTTCTCCAACAACACTTAAGCTCCTGTCCTGTATAACAGGAGCTTTCAGACTAATTTGCATCATCTTGTCTTGACTTGTCTGACTTTTGTTCCTTTTTCGACTTCCAAATATTTGTCTTCACTTTATTTGCATATCAATCAACAGGTTGTGTATATAAACCTGCTTTCCCCTCTGGTCTCTCAGTCACTGACGAAAGCTAGTGGATACTAGCTGAAACGTCTGACGTTTTCAAAATCATATCCAGTTGCTTGAGTAACTGTTTTTTGGCATATCGTATTACCTGGATGTCTAACCTTCATCGACGTTTTTTGAAAAATTGTTTTATTATTATTTTTTGGCCATTTTCAGGCAAAAAATATATATATTTTGGGATCTGGAGCCCTGGTACTAAACCCAAATGACCTGAAATTTGGTATGGGGATACATTGACACCTCATTCAAGCTAAAATTGTGAAAAATAGGCCTTTTTGGCTATTTTTGGACCCAAAATGTACATTTTTGGCTCCTGTGCCCTTATATTAAATCCGAATGACCTGAAATTTGGTATGTGGATACCTTGGACACATGTTCAAAGAATGTCATTCAGGCTTTTGACATATACTACTTCAAAATTGTGGAAAATAGGGCTTTTTTGCTGTTTTTAGACAAAAAAATGTACATTTTTGGCTTCTGTGCCCTAATAATAAATCCGAATGACCTGAAATTTGGTATGTGGATGCCTTGGACACAATGTCCAAAGAATGTTATTCACGCTTTTGACATACACCACTTAAAAATTGTGTAAAATAGGGCTATTTGGCTATTTCTGGACCAAAAATGTACATTTTTGTCTCCTGTGCCCTAATATTAGAACCAAAAGCCCTGAAATTTGGTATGGGAGATCATTGGATACAAGCCCACAGAATGTTATTCATGCTTTTGGCATGTGACACTTAAAGATTATGTAAAATGGGCCATTTTTTGCTATTTTTGACCAAAAATGTACATTTTTGGCTCTGCCTGCGCTAATGCAAACGAAATAATTATAACCCGAAATTCAGCATAAGGGTAGCTTGGCACCAAATGCTTAGACTAATAGTGTTCACTATTCAGATTCAGCCCTTTAAAATACTTTTATTTACCTTTCTTTCAGTAAAAACAGTGATTGTAGTTTGAAAACCCGAATCCCCAACTGAGAGTTCTAAATATAGAACACTTGGGTTCTAATAGGGTTCTACATGTTCCAACAGCAGAATGCACTGGAAAATTCCATTACTGCTCAGAGCAAATGTCGGCCTTTCTATAGTTATATAATCATCATCACTATACCAGTGCTGGAAAGCCATGGAGATCGTGATACTCACAAAGCAATGTACAGCAACAGTTATAGCACTTCTTGTTGTCTGGTTCATTCGGGGACACAAGCTCAAGCACTTCAATACACCCAGGATTCTGTACCTTTCCTCCATCTGTGCTCTCAACATATGTACCATACTGCGTATCCTCCAAAGGCACTTGCAAATAGTCCACCTCTTTAAAGTTTAAATATTCAGAGGACCGTCTTTTAGAATTGTTGTACATGACATCCATGTCGTACTGCCAACTGACTCTAAATTGACTTAAGCTTGCAGTATGAGTTTGTGGTATAAACAATAGTTTGTGACACAATGAAAATGTGGGTGCCTGTTCACTATAGTTTTGTGTGGAGTGACTATAGAAACCAGGAAACTTAAATTAATGTAGAAGATATGTTAATATTTCAAGTATTCCCAGTTTATTCCCAATATACAATTGGCAATACTACCTCTACAGGCATGCTATTATTATGAAAACTGGCATGTCTATAAAACAAACTGAAGCCAGCTGCATGTCAACTATTTCATGAAAGCTTGCCCCTTTCCTTCCATGTCAACACTGTTATTTACAGTGACTGCACATTGTGTCAAGAGGGTCAGCATGGGGAGATCCTGGCAACACTTGGTGGTAAATCTTGCAGGCTGGTAATGCCTAATGAGAGTTAGTAATGTAACACGTTGGTTTAACCCAGCTCTGTTCTTACTTACACCTGTATCGAGATAGAATGTCCGACC